GGAGATCTCTGTGGGTAGATGAGGGAGGGAGAGAAATAATGATGTTGGTGTGGCCTCTGGGCACAGAGTGGGAAGAGGCATCAACAGAGACAGGAGGGGACAGAGAGCTTACAGATCCAGTGACACAGCCAGGCAGGACGCAGAGGCAAAGCAGAGCAGCTGGACTGAGGGGCAGAAGACAGATGATGAGATAGAGACACAGACACACACATCTGGGAGACAGACGAACAGGATCGGATGAAAGACCCCAAAGGGTGGGAGTGAAGCCAGCCCAGCTGAGTCAGTGCCATGTGCCACCCCCTGCCCTGCTCACCACCACTCACCACAACCAGCCTGAGTCCTCCAGTCCTCGATCTTGATGCCTGCAGCCTGGCATGCAGCAGCATAGGCAGCCAGTGCTTGGCACAGTATGTCTTTGTTGGCACCACCCAGGCAGACATCCAGCACACAGCCCTTGAAGAAGCTTTCAGGAGGCACATGGGCATGGCACTTGGCAAAGGAGCCCCCTGAGCCAGGAGCCAGAGGGCCACAGAAGCCAGGGCCCCCATATTCCTCCACTCGGTCCTCTGGGCACATTGGACAGGACCCCTGACATTCATTCCAGCAAAGAGGGTCCCACCCTGGAACCTGCCAGCTGCCGCCCCAGGTGGGTATTGAGGGTGCCAACGTGCCATTAGGGAAGACTTGGTCATTTTTGGGGTTTTTGTCCATGTTTCCGCAGAGCCCACACACTGCACCATGGTAGCTACTGGGCAGTATGACCTCTACCCTCCAGTTCCAGTCATAAGTGACCTGAAGCCCGAAGTCAGTCTGCACCACCGCCTTTGAGCCTCCGTGAACCACTGAAATCCTCCCACCAGCCAAGTGGACAGGCAAGGCTGTGAGGACTCCATTCACCTGGGGAGACAGGGAGGCCAACAGGGTCAAGGGAGCAGTGTGAGCTCAGCTGTCGCCTCTGCTGTCCTTGTCCCTTCCTCTTCCTTCCAAGGGCTTCCTCCTGACGTTGGAGTTAGTCCCGTTACAAATATCATAGACATCTCTTCTCATCCATCCCAATAAATGGATCCTCTACTTGCATGCCTTTTTTTGTTTTCTCTCCGAATTCACACTCTTTCCTTCTCCTCCTGGTCCTCCTCCAACCCTCCATATCTTTCCCCATCTCTTTCCCAGGTCTGTCTCTCTAGAAGTCCCTTTCTGGTCTCTATCTCTTTGCATTTCCTCCCCACGTTTCTCTCTTCCTTTCCCTGTGTTTCTCTCCTCCCTACATCTCTCTCCTAGATGTCTCCCTTCACCTTGACTCTGCCCTGCTTCTACCCGCTCTCTGAGCCACTGTTCACCTATACCTTCGTTGTATCTGCAGAACATTTTCCCAGGAAAAGCATGCTCCTTTCCTGGAAGGAAACTGAAACTTTTCAGCTCCTAATTGCTGCCATCAATATCAGGACTCATTTGGCTCCATGCCCCAGGGTGTTCCTGGGCCCATCATTCTGAACATACCCGGACTTTGCCAATCTCATTCTTGTGGATGGAGATGTTGTTGCCGAGGGCGGTCACAGTGACTAGTCTCACATAGGACACGGCAGGGTTGCCCCGGTTCTCATTCTTGGTTGTGACAGTGAAGGGAGTCAGGCCCTCAGCACTGACCCCAGGACAGGTGGTTCCTGCCAGCAGGTAGCTGCAGGTGCCCTGGAAGTCAAAGCTCCAGCCGTCAAAGGAGTGGTAGTGAGGGTCACCCCACAGCCAGCACGTGGAGTTATAGTTGGGCACACACACGCCCTGACCATCTTGCACTTTGCAGGTCTCCTGTGGCCGGCAGGTGATATTGTGGCATGGGTCTGTGAGGAGAGGACAGAGCATGTTCAGGGGCTGCCCACCACAAACACGGCTGCTCCCAGCATCTGCCGCTCTGTGCTAGGGATGCCAGCGCTGACTGTCGCTGCAGGTGTGACCAGATCTCTGTGTCTTGACACCTAAGCTCTAGGCCCTGAAGTTGCTGTATGTAAGACCAGGCCTTGAGAACCCAGATGTAGGGGTCCAGAAATTTTATATCTTGTGCCTGGGGTCCCCACATCTAAGTCTCTCAGCTGGGATTTCCCACAGTGCAAAACTCCATCCCAGAAGTCTCCAAATCAGAAGTCTCATTTCTGGGGACTTGTCCTCAAGGGCTTTCATGTTCAAGACCCCACTAGTGTCACTCTCTGTGGCTCCAGCACTGTGTCTAGGTGTGCAGCCTTCAAATTTGCTCCTCTATCTTGTTTCCTGTTTGAAACTAGCCTTGAAAACTTTGTCAGCAGAGGGTGCTGGGAAGTTTTCAGGAAGGAGGGACCCTGTCCTCACAACCTGCTCTGCTCTTCCCGCAGCTGCTGTGCTGTGCAGCCTGGGGTGGGAGAGGCGCTGGCTCTCACCTAGACACCCCAGGGGCTGCTTCCAGCTGTTTTCATCAGCACTTCAGCGGGCCTTTCACTCCTGCAACCCCATCCTGCTGGATCCTCCCCACCCAGAGGCCGTAGGATGCCCTCCCCAGCCTTAAGGTGGAGGCCTTCTAAACCCCAGCTTTCCCCCAGCATCTGGGATTAGCTTTAGGTGGGCTCCTGTGAATTCTGTGCTCCTCTCACCTGAAAGCATCCTTTGAGAAGCAGGTCTTGAGAGGGAAGGTGGCGGACTACTCCCACACACCAAATGCTATCATTTTTGAGGAAAGAACCAGGGACAGCAGGAAAGCAGCCTCTGAGGGGGGCCATGGCAGAGACACACAACAAAAACACAGTCTCTGGCCTCTGCCACCGCCCCCCCCCCATGCAGGAAGCTGAACCCAGGGTCTCTGAAAGAATAGCCAATGAGCCACTGAGCCATCTCTCCAGCCCTAACCCTTAATTTTTAATCTTTTCTTTCTCCCAACATTTTTATTTACTATCTTTGATCAAATCAGTTTTCTCCCTCTCATCTTTCCCCTTAATAGAGGACAGAAACACACACACACACACACACACACACTCTCTCTCTATTTCTCTCTCTGTGTTTCTTTCTTTTTTTTCTCTCTCTCTCACACACACACAACCTTGTACAAAAATCAACTTAAGACCACAGATATTAATGCAAGTCCTGAGATTTTGAAACTGGTAGAGAAAAGCAACGGAAAAAAAAAAAACAGTGAAAAAAAAAAAACAAAACGTGAGGAATCACAGCTTTATGAATAGCTCAGGAAATAATGGCAAGAATTGGTAAATAAAAATTTAAATAAAATTTCAGTAAATTAAAAAGCTTCTGCATTGCAAAGGAAGCAAGTAACAGAGAAAAGAGACAGCCCACAGAATGGGATAAAAATCTTTGTCAGTCATTGAGCTGACAGATTAATAACCAGACTATATAAAGAACTTTAAAAAAACAAACAAAAAAACCCACAAAACGGCAAGTGATACAATGAGCAGATGGGCAGAAAAGAACAGGCAATTTTCAAGTGAAGCACACAAATAATCAGTGAATAAGTGGCCAAAACCCTTATTTTCATTTAAAACAATTGAGAATTTCCTGTCAGCCCAGTAAGAACGAGCATTATCAAGGAAGCAAGCGACTACTGGTAAGGGCGCCAGGTAAGGACAACCTTACCCAGACCTGGGAGGAAACGTTAACTGATGCAGCTACTGTGAAATGTATGACGTTCCTGATAAACCCAAAACTAGAAGCACCCACGACCCAGCTCCATCAGGAGTGTCCCAAAGGAGTCTAAGCAGCTTTACATTAGAGGCTCCTCACAGCCACGTTTGCCGTTCAGTGTTCACAGTGCCCACGTGAGGCCGTGGGCACGAAGCTGTGGGGCCGCCTGGTGCTTGTTGCTGCAAATACAGTTGCGTCCCAGCGCTGACCCTTCGTGCACACTGTCTCTGGACGCCCTATGTCATAAGTCGGAAGCTACGCTTAAAGCCATGCGGCCTGCACACTTAAGTGATCAGCACTGCACTTGAAAGAGAAAGTTCGCCTAGCCCTGCGGCACTCCATCCAAGGGCCTTTGGCAACCACATCGAAACCTTGCCCTGAGGTTCCCACACCCTGGAACCCCTTAAGCTCCCTTAACCTAAGGTTCCCAGACTCTGCCCTGGGCTCCTGGAATCGCAGCCTAGGGTCTGACCTCAACCCACAGACCTCTGCACTCTCACCATGCAGTTATGTCCCCTCAGCTCCCAGCCCCTGTCCTGTGACCCTCCTCCCCACCAGCCCAGCCCCTCTGCCCAGCACCTTTGGTGACGCAGGTCAGGACGCCTCCCGAGGGCTCGCACACCTGTCCTGGCTTGCAGCTGTGATCCTGGCACACCATGCCTTTGCCTGCATGGCACACACAATGCTGCTGGCAGTTTTCAATGAGCACTGACTCCTCTGGCTGCGGAGACAGAAGGCACGTCATCAGTAAGCAGAGAGCGTGCACGTCATCAGTAAGCAGAGAGCGTGCCGGCTTTGGCATTCCCCGTGTTCTGGGCACAGAGAGGGCTGGGGACCAGCTCTCAGCAGTGTGGTCCACTGAGTGAAACTGGGGCACAGCATGGCTTTGAGGCTCCACTCACTCATACCTTCACCCACTCATTTTAATACAGCAGTGAATCACTGTTGCTTAGGAGGAGCAGAGTTAAGTTGTCATTCAGAGCAAAACTCGTGGAGCACATGGCCCAGCTGAGCCTGGTCCCACCATTCCCAACTATATGACTAAACAGCATTGCCTCAGCTTCCTCATCTGTAAATGAGCTAGTAACAGGTCCAATCTGAGAAAGTAGAACTGAGGTAATCAGATGTGTAAAGTAGAGATGGAACCAACGAGGGACCTCTCCAATAACTCAGCCTGGTTTGGAAAGGGGAGGAGAGACAAAGCTGGGCTGGGGAGCTGACGGCTGAAGTGATTCCAGCACTCTCCCAACAAATGCACATTTGAGAATTTTCATAATATGAAGGCAGGATGTTCATGCATACATACATGTGTGTGTACTGTATGTACATAATAAAATAGGTTCATGGTAAGCCCCACGCACACATCTGCTTGCACTGCCCTCAGAGAGTCCTCACTCCTGAAGGGAAGGAGAGACAGACTATAAGCAAACACACATTCAAGCCCAAGGGCTCCTGCGGGAGAGGAGAACAGGGAGAGCAGAGGGAGGGAGCGTCTGCTGTGACACACACGTCTCATCCTCATGACGCGGGAGAACATCTCTGCTAAGACCTGGGACCCAGCCAAGTGTTCATCTGGTGAGACAGTGCAGGGTTGAAGACTTCAGCACCCATGATCATAGTTAAAAAGACCTCACAGGGAGGTGCAGCAAAGGAAGCAAAAGAGGGGACTGGGCAAGGACAAAATGGACTGAAATAGGGTTAGGGGAGGGGACAGAGGTGAACAGAGCGATGTTCAGAGGCTGACTGGCGGGAAGGCCACCGTGCTAATGAACAGTGAAGCGGGCACCCAGGGAGAAACCCTGTGTTCTGTGCTAATGGCTGCGTTCTTACCTCATAGTAGACCCCATTGTGGTAGCAGCCACATTCCTGCATGGGCACGCAGGCTTTGCCATTGTACAGGAAGCCAGGTTCACATTCACAGCCCTCTGCGCACCCTTCTGGGCACTTCTGGGGTGTGCTGAGAGCCCAGCAGCCCAGGGAGCAAGTGTCTGCGCAGACCTCATAGTGGCTGTGAGGGGGGCACTCCATCGCTGTAAGAACAGAATGCCAATCAGAGTGCAGGGTTAGGGTGGGGGTTCTACTCCTTCTCTACCCCAACCTCCCCACTCCCTACCCCTCAGTGTCCCGTAACTCACGACAGAAAGTTTCCGTCCTCCAGGGCTCCACTTTCCCCCCAGCTGCCTGGCAGGCGCTCACATAGGCGTGGATGTTGTCGCAGAGAATGCTCAGGTTCCCGCCACCCAGGCAGAGATCAAACACGCAGTCTTGCAAGGGACCCTGGGGGTCCAGCAGCTGGTGGCAGGCAGCCAGTGGCCCTGTGGGCTTGGTTATCAGCCCACAGAAGCCTATCTCGCGATACTTATTCTCCAGATCTGGGCTGCACTCAGGGCCACAGTTGTCTCCTGGGCAAGGAGGCACTGGCGCACAGGGAGAGTCGGGCACAGCTTCCTCCCAGGAGTTACCAAACTCACTGGGGTTGGCTGCCTGTGAGCCATCGGGCTTCTGAAAGTCATCCTTGGGGTCCCCATTGTAGTCCCCACACAGACCACACATCTGCTGATAGTAGCTGCCTGGGATGGTGACCCGCACATGGTACATGAGGTCAAAGGTCACTCGCAACCCAAAATCAGTTTCAATCACAACATCAGACCCATGCTGGGAGACACGGATCTTGCCTCCATCAAGCACCACTGGCAACTTCATGTCCACACCGTTCACCTGGAAGACCGGGAATGCCAAGCTTCAGAGGGCATATGTTGAAACAATCTGTTCCTAAATGTTCCTACCTGTGTGACCTCATTTCTCTAGGCTTCAACTTCCATATTTTTAAAGTATGTATATTAATAGTGTCTTACAGTGGTTTGAGTAGTTTTAGAGAGGTAAGTCTCCCCAGGAGCTGAAGAGGGGGCTCAGGATTTCCTGCAGCAGGGCTTGGTGGCGCACGCCTTTAATCCCAGCGCTTGGGAGACAGAGGCAGGCGGAACTCTGTGAGTCAGAGGCCAGACTGACGTACAAAACTAGTCCAGGACGGCCAGGATTACCCAGGGAAAAATAAAAACAAAACAAAAAGAAACCAAATACATCCAGTGCTTGACCAGAGGACCAGAGTTCAGACCCGGCCCCACAGCCAGCAGCACACAGACCCCTGTGACCCCAACTCCAGAGACCTGGTGTGCGTGAAGATGTAGACATGTGCACACAACAATAACAATAAATAATGATAAAAAGACAAGTCCCCGCAGGACTTCAGAGTAACCGTATCTGAAGGAGTATCACAGCAGGCGTAATTACAGTTACTGTCTTTATGTGAGATAATCCTATCAGGCTGGACTCCAAATACAATGAGGGGAGGGGAGGGGAAGAAAGGGGAGGGGAGGGGGGAGGGAAGGGGAGGGGAGGGGAAGATCGCAGAGCAGAGCAGAGCATGGAGAGAGGGAAGATCGAGGTAGGGACCTGAGTGCTGACACTACAAGCCGGGGACAACTGGAACCACCGAAAGCTAGAAGGGCAAGGTTTCTCCCCTTCAGGCTCTGGAGGGGATGTGGCCTCACTGCTACCCTGATGTTGGACTTGTGGCATCCAGAATGGTGAGCTATAAGGAAGTCTGTAGCATTTTGTCACCTCGGCCACCAGTGAAGTGACGGGTCCCCTGAATGAGGGCACCCTCCATTAAGAGCTGACATGGCAACTGATAATGCAGGGACTGAGCTTGGAGCACATGGCTGGGGCGAAGTACAGCCCTCCTTTTAGCCCTCGTGCTCGGGCAGGAGACTCAGCTGTGTTTCTCCCTCCTGCCTGTCTAGGGGGATCGGGTACCTCGTCTGCAGAGCGTCATCTAGGGAGTCCGGTACCTAACCGCCGCAAAGGCTTGCGCTGTAGACACGGGCTGGGGCTGGGGCTGGGGCTGGGGCTGGGTTTGCAAGTCTTCATTCTGGA